TACACACACACACACACACACTATATATATAATTTATATATATACACATATATATACACATATATATATATACACATATATATACACATATAATTTATATATATACACACATATATACACATACACACACACACACACACACTATATATATAATTTATTTTGATTTTTTTTTTACTTCTAATGCATTATCTCATTTTTATCAAAAAGTCTTTCCATCAGAACCAAATTTCAGAAGTAAATGGACAACTTCAAATTTTCTTTAAATATGCCTTCTGGTACACACTAATATTATTCTGTAATAATATTCATTTCTACACATATATATGATTCTATATAAGAATATAACTACATTTGTCCAAATATGTGCATGGCCACTGTTGAAACCTTCAGGTCAATATAAAGAGGACTGAGATGTGTTGCTTCATCTTTCTCCTGATTAATATTTTTAATAGCTGAAGATATTGTTTTTCGATTTGTGAACAAAGATTTTGATATTAGATGAACCAATGGTGCTAGTGTTCATGTACCAATTCATTTCCTCCACTAGTACACTGTGTTGGACAAATACATAAGTCATACATCACTACCTTGCTTTAAACACTGATGTGAAACAACTTCAGTGCACACATAAGGTCTCTTTTCAACACAGAGAACAAAACTCTTAAGATAGGCTTGAGTTAGCGAAAGAGGAGAAAACTCACAAATCTTCAAATCCAACAAAATGTATCTTATCAAACAACAATGTTTTATGACAGTTTTTAGATCTGAGTTCTACATTCACAATCAGTTTTCCATATGGTGTGCATTGTCCAATCTGGCAATGACACACAGATTACATGAATTTATATATTTATATTCTAGCTGGATATTTTTTTACATCCTATTTAAATAAATTCATATTTTTCATGGACTCGTATCCTGCCCCCCTCCCCCCACCAGGAAAACTTTAAATCAGCTGAATATATTGCTTTGGAAGAAAACATGTATATAAAATTGGAATCTTTTAAAACTGCATTCATTCACACTTCTTTCTCTCTATAAGAAATAAAGATAGACAGATGATAGATAGATAGATAGATAGATAGATAGATAGATAGATAGATAGATAGATAGATGCTTACATTTTTCCAATACAGCATATAGATTGTTCTCTTATGAGTTCTACTCCAGAATTTTGCTTTTGTTTATCAGTGTTTGCAAATAAAACCTTAATATTTAAATGAATAACATCAAAATTATAGGCTCTGTTGAAATGCCATATTCAAAGAATTCTTCAAGCTTTTGAAATATCTTGATAAGATTTATTTCACAATCATTCGGAGAGGAATCCCAAGATCACTTAAAGGTTTCCATGTTCTAATTCCTTTACAGATTTATATTGCTATGTTCCCCCAGATCTCACAATATAAGAAGTTTCACAGAAGCTAAGAAAACATCATAAGATTAGCTAAACCATATGGGACTGATTATGTTTAATTTATCACCATGGGCAATTCAGAATTATTGGACTAGATTTTTATCAAGAGGACTCATTTTGATGGAAAGTCACACTTGGCATTTGTGTTCTGTGCCCAAGAGCTGCACACTAAGAAGTAGGAAGGCCATATTCAAAACAATTGACTCAGCTTTCAACAGTAGTCATATTGCCTACACTGATTCCAGGCTATCCATCAAATCTATAATCCATGATAAACCCTTAAGTGATTTGTCCTCTACTCGTTTGTTAGGGTTCATTAGTTTGAGTCCCTTTGTTTGGTCTAGACTTCTATTTTGCCTCTCTTCTTTCAGAAGCCCTCTGGTTCTTCATCTTCTCCTTTCAAAAATATCAACATTTTTAAAATCTATTTCCAACAGAAGAAAAGGCTGGTATATATAATTCTCCATATCTGACAAACAACAACTCTTCTTTTTTATATAATAATTTTATTAAAACGTTTAATTACAACAATAAAAGATAATACAAACTAAAGAAGAAAAAGAAAAAAGGTGCAAAGAAGCAAAAAGGAAAAAAAAACCCTAAGAAAGCAACTTCCCACCCTCATCACAACGATTTCATAACCTCTTCACCTCCTCTCAAGTAACAGATATAAAACTCTTCATCCCATAACTCATCTCAACTATAAGCAAATCCAATAAATAACATCTTCTCCAATCTAGGTGTCAGCAAGAAGTCCAAACAGAGCCCTAAAATAATAGCATACATAAAGCTCCACATTTTTCCATTCCAAAAGCCAACAATTCCAAAGAGAACCACACTAAAAAGCAACATATCGCATTGAAATAAACATTCCATACCTCAATTCTTAACTATAAACATATAAACAAATTGATATCTCACAAATATAAAGTAATCCCAGTATCCTAATGTAAACAAAAGACTAAAATTTAACAGAACAAAGAGGATTATAAAACAAGAGTTAAATACAGAACCAGTTTAAATGCTGTCTAATTAAGACCTCTCAGTGGCTTTTGATACCATCGATCATGGCATCCTTCTGGATTGGCTCCGTGAGTTGGGGGTGGGTGGTACTTTAATGTGTTAGTTCTCCTTCTTCCTCTAGGGCCAGTTCCAATTTTTGTTAATAGGAGGGAAGAGGTCCAGTCCATGGTCCCTACTATGTGAGGTACCTCAGGGCTTGGTTCTTTCTCCCCTCCTGGTTAACATCTATATGAGGGCACTGGATGAGGTCATCTGACAGTTTGCTCAAATTAATAAAGCATAATGGGGTGTTTGAACTGAGTTCTGAACAAATTAATAAACCATCACTATCCAGGTTCCTTAGCCCCAATTATCAAAATATACAAGGCCAAAGTTACTCCTGTGCTCTTATATGGTGCTGAAGTTTGGGCCTTAAAATATGTATCACTATTAGAACAAACACCATCAGAGCATCTGAGAAGTATTTTGGGTGTGGATAAAAGGACTTCAGCTGCTGCAGTTAGAGCCCAACTGGGAATCTATACATTTATACATGGGAACTTGTTCTTTGTCTGACATCAAGGATTATAATTATTGGTGCAAAATCAATGCTATGCAAACTAACAGAGTCCAAAGTTATGTCTGTCAGAACAGACAAAATCTCAGTTACAGACTTCTTGGATAGTACAACTGACAAATTATATTAGGAGCTGTGGTTTCCCTGTGTCTTGTAGAATTGTTTCTGGAGAACAAGCTAAAAAGATTGTTGCACAAAGAATCCTGGATAGAGAAGCACAGAAAGATATTAGCCACCCTTAGTAAGATTGGACTAGCCACTACAAATGGACCTTCCAAATTGCCAAGTATTTAAACACAGAAATGCCTAAACATCTTAGGGTGGTATTTACTTGAGCAAAATATGAGCAGTTGGACACAATGGTTAAATGTGGTAGATTTAACCAAGTCTCTTATAATGAACATACTTGTATTTACAGAGCTCTAGAGATAGCAGACATAATTCAGTGCATATATTATTTGAATGTCAATTGTATAAGAAAGAAAGGAATCAGTATCTTGGACCACACATTAGACAAATAACCTATTGGGATCCTTATATTAAAAGAACATATTTCATGTGTGGTCAGAATTAAAAATTCATAATATGGCCCTTTATTTGAACAAAACAGTACAACTGAGACCTGCATATGTGGATTTGATTGGTGTTGTAGGGGTTGTGAGAGGAAAATTTTAGTAGCCTTCTATATGTTTTAATGTTAGTTTTGATTGCATTCAATAAAGCCA